AATACCCTGAAGGGGATAGTATTCTGTAATAGAATAAAATTTAAAAAAAATCAAAATGCAACTTGATATTACCAGTGACTTGACCATAAAAACAAAAAATGCTCTTTGATCTAAAGAAATCTCCCCTTTTCTGATTTTTTACACATTTCTTATAACGAAATCAAAACAAAAAAAATCAGAAAATTGTTATTAGTATTAATTGAATGAGTAACAAGATCTTGATTTAGCATGGACACGTACTGTTGTCGCATTCGAAATAGGTATGCTTATTAAAGTGTTCTCCCTTTTTCCTTGGTAATTGGATTTCGGATGTTTGTAATTCCTTCATCGGTACATCTTAGGTTACCAATGGTTGCCGGTTAGGTGTATATTTTAATGTTATGTTGCATGCAGATATACATTTGTAAAGGCATTAAGTCAGAAGAACATTATAATACATGCATTTATATATATGAGCCGTGTCATGACAAAACCAACATAATGGGTTTGCGACCAGCATGGATCCAGACCAGCGCAGTCTGATCAGGATCCATGCTAAGGGTTGGTAAGCAAATAACATGGATCCTGTTCAGACTGCGCGGCTGCGCAGGCTGGTCTGGATCCATGCTGGTCGCAAACCCATTATGTTGGTTTTGTCATGGTGCGGCTCAAATAATACGATGTAAATTGATGCCTGTCGTACTTGTACAAATATTAATTAAACAGCGGATATAAAAGTTCAAGAATAAATATGACATTCATGTCAATATTTTCCTTTTTACGTAAAACATTAACTTGTTAATGCAAAACATTATTACAACACCTAAGACTTTAATAAAAAAAAAAACTAGCTCAACCGGAATTTATATACTCATTCGGGTAGTGAATAAATTATAAAAAAAACTGTATGAAGTTTTAATTTATTCACTCAGATAGAAAAAAATGATTAACCATTTCACTGTCATAGGGCGGCTTATGCCGTCCCTGTTATTTTCGGTGTTTTTGCCATATGGACGGCTTTAGCCGTTTCTATAATAATGATAGTAATAATAATAAATTAATAATAATAATAAGAAGAAGAAGAAGAATAATAAATATAAAGAAAATTATACCATAGACAATAATTATTACTATACTCACAGATTTGAAAACATATATAATTATTATATTACTAATAATAAATAATAATATTTATATTAATTAATAATATAGTAATTTTTTAGAAAACCCTCTGGCAAATAGGTGATCAATAAAACAATAACCCTCTGGCATCGAAAGGGTTCAGTTTGTTTTTCGTTATTTTTAACTAAAAGTTAAAACACTGTTGTATAGTTGAAAGTTTGTTTTGAAAATGAAATTTCTGTACCCCGTTTTGCTGCTTATAATGCAACTGTTACGTTATCTTGATTGGTAAAAAGGGGAATCAATGATGCCAGCATTATTAAGTGTTGAGAATTGAGTACCACTCGAATTGAGTACCGCTCAAGCCGTCGCTAGGTGGCTTGATGGATGTTGCGCTTATTTATTATCCCTCATGTACAGACTCAATCAAACCGAGTCTGCAATATCCCATTTTTCATGAAATTTTGTTGTGATAAATGCTTCCGAGGGAGCATTTTGTTTCCAGATTTTTATACTTCAAAACAACAGGTGCTGTATGGCAGCTGTAAAAAATTGCCCCGTACTACACTTCAGCGTTGTTATATTTTTCTGGTCCTTCGTGATCAATGATGCCAGCACTTGTTGAAAAATCAGTACCGCTCGAATTATCGCTTAAGCCGGTGCTTGGGGCGTGAGGGATGTTGCACTTATTCAATATTCCTCATGTACAGACTCAATCAAACCGAATCTGCAATTTTCATGTTATTTTGTTGTGATTAATGCTTCCGAGGGATCATGTTTATATATATGTATATTTGCATTGTATAATATGGCAATGACATTAATATGGTTTATTCTGCAAGTGTAATTCAATGTAATGATGTTTGTTTATTTGTTTGATTGTTTGTTTGGGTTTTACGTCACACAGACACAGTATAGGTCATTTGGCGACGTTCCAGCTTTACTGTTGTAGGAAGACCTAAGGTGCCTTTCCATGCATTATTTCAGGCACGAACGGGCACCTGAGTAGAACCACCTACATTCCCTAAGCTAGCTGGATAGCTTCCTCAAATGAAAGAATCCAAAGTCCCTGTCGGGATTCGAACCCACAGCGTTGAGGGGCAAGTTGTTTGAAGTCAACGACCTTAACCACTCGGTCACGGACGCCCCCTCAATGTAATGATAATATATAATAGAAACAGAATTTTAATAAACATCTATCTGACATCGACGAGCTACTTCAAATATTTCTTCTTAAGGCAAAATGCGAGTGTAATTTCTGTAGTTAATTTGTATTAAAGAATGAACCGTATGTCAATACTGTACGATCTTCATCAAGTTAAAAAGTTCACATTAACGTTTTTGAAGAGGTGTTACTTCTTTATGGTTCTTAATTTAAATATTTTGTGATATGTTAAAAAACTGCATAGATAAAGGCATCAGATGTTTCTGCTGTATCAGAAAATGAGCCGTGTCATGACAAAATCAACATAATGAGTTTTCGACCAGCATGGATCCAGACCAGCCTGCGCATCTGCGCAGTCTGATTAGGATCCATGCTGTATGCTATCAGTTTCTCTATTTGTTATAGTGTTTGTAAGCGAACAGCATGGATCCTGATCAGACAGCGCGGATGCGCAGGCTGGTCTGGATCCATGCTGGTCGCAAACCCATTATGTTGGTTTTGTCATGACGCGGCTCAAATGATTTGTCCTCAATAAAGTCGATGTTTCACAAAAGACATACATTGTATTATGTTTTACTCTTCTGGTCATTGATTAGCTGTGGCGGTGAATAATGTTTTGAGACTTAGATACTTTAATGGTTTTCAGATATTATTTGGAACAATTTTGTTTTCAATTTTATTTTGCGTGATTTGAAAAAAAAATCTATTTCGGATAGCTTGAAATAAATTCATTTCTGGATGGATGAGTATCTAATTATTCTTATTTTTAACTCATTTGTTTTCGCTGTTGTTTACTTTTGTAATGAAAGACTTTCTAGAGTAACAAATTTACAGTTGGTTGGCACATTGAAGTTCTTCAATACTATACCTGAATCTCAATACTAAATGAACCTGAATTAGAGCATTACATCTGAAAATATGACACTTAAATTAATGTTCTCACCTCCTTGTCCAACTCGATAAATTTGCTACAAAATTGACTCGGTAAGTTCGCTCGATCTGTACATAAGTTACAGGAGGCATACTTGATTTTAATCAGATTGTAATTTCTTAAGTCGTGCTGATTTAATGGCACTTTTAAAACAAGAATATTACGTTTATGTTATTTATTACTATACTGTCAATACTTGAATGCAGGATGTCACATCTTAATACTATTTCCATTTTATTATATTGCTCACCTATATAAAAGTAAATTTAAGGTAGTACACTCCTAATGCACTATCTCCACTTTGAAGAGTATTCAATTAGGCTAGAATCACTTTCAAGTGTATTAAAACTGAGGGGCGTGGGTTAAAACCCCAGAAGGGGCAACCTTTTTTTCTATCTTTTTTTTTCCTTTTTAACATTTTTTTATGAATCTCTCAGATCCCTAATGGAAGAAAAAAGTGTTTCATTTTTATTATATAATTATTGTATGTATTTATTTGCTAAATAATGCCAATTTTAATAGCAAATATGATACCAGATATTTTCAAAGTTTAATAAAATAAAAACTACACGGTAAAAATATTTTATTTTTTGCAAGACCAACCAATACACCTTTAAGAAAATTTAGGCAAACTTTGAAAACAGCGCCTGATTATAGTAATTTTAGGGATATTTTGAATAAGGCTTTTTACAAAGGGAAATGGTCAAATAAGTGTTGAAAGTGGGTTGGATAGGGTTACTTTTTTATATATATTATAAACATTTCGTTAAAAAACAATCATTTGACTTGCTTAATTTGTTACCTGAATGTCATTTTTCGTTTCTTAACAATGAGCAATAGGAAAACACTTTTCATAATGATGATATTATAATTTATTTAGAGTTTCCTCATTTCTGAAAAGCCCTTCTAATGGCAAAGTTTTATTTCAGAAAAGTGTCCATAATTCAAACACTACAAGATAAATTTTGTTTAAATTTTGCATACAGGTGACATTTAAGGCATTTAACTGTCCTATGTTGTCAATTTCACAGTTCCTTATAGTGCACATTAGGGGTGTTCTACCTTAATAAAGATTATTTATTCGATAGTCGTCTGTATTGTCTGTATACACACATTTAGTACTGGCAGCCCTAATATACTTGATGTTTATAAGGGAGATAATTTTCTTTTTTTTTTATTTGGGTAAAAGGTTGAAAGATTAACTCCCCTTTCAATGATTTAGAAAAGAAAAATGCAAAGTTACATCAGCGCCATTTAAAACTAGATATTAATTAATAAGAAAGAAAGTGCAACTAACAATGCATGTACACAAACTATTTCGTAATTGTATAATAGTTTGGGGATCTTTCTGTTGGAAATGTTTAAGAGTTAAATCGTATACTTATACATGCACAGTGTGTTAACGAAAGTGCATATATAAGTTACCCGCACTCCAGAGCATGCCCATTGATTGGCTCATTTTGTTTGGGGTTTACTGATTGTGACGACGGAGAAAGGGAAAGCGACAGAAATATCATATAGATGCTCGTTCATTGATTACTTTTTCCCGGGGTTTCATATTGTGACAACAGGGAACGTGTTTTTTTACTATGATACAAAAAAAAAGAACAGCAAAACATTCGGCAATTCGATTTATACTCGGGGGCTACACCCCTTCGTACAAATAAGATAGCCTCGTGTTTCGATGATGTCTCTATTACTTTTTTCTTTTTACCATTACAATTACAGACTATCTATTATTCTGTTTAATCCTTTTATATTATAATATTTGAGTCAAGTATTTCCACTTACGAACACGGATGCGATCGCTTTATTTTACAATAAAAGGTTGTTTAGAACAAACCTGAAGTGTAAAACGTTTGCTAAACAAAACTTGATCATGTTGGTTTGGATTTTATTATTTTGGGGAAATATTTGCTTATTTGTACATTCTATGGAGCCTACGTGTAACCCCTACTATGAAATTCTTAAAACAGTCCTGAAACTCGAGCAAAAGATTGAAACGATGGAACATGTTATGCAGGAACAGCGCAACATTATCAGCAAAATGTCAAGTGAAGGTAAAGTGTATTTTGTAAGTATGGACGACACAACATTTATGTCCAAATGCCGTAAATGGTTGATACCTCTTTAAAAACCTGAATGATAGATAAAGGCTTGTTTTGACATTGACAACGTTTTCCTATAAAACAGCAGTAGAGAAGTTAAGGAATGAGAAAAAGGCTGTCAAGTAATGTATAAACATATGGAAGAAAATTAAAAAGAAAGATCGGCGTTTGGGGAACACAGTCTCTTCTAATTATCATCAAAACAGGACTAAATATAAGAGAAATAATATGGCACTCACACGTGTCAACAATGCAAGCATGTTTAACTGTTCTTTCATGTGTATATTATTTTGTTCCTTTTCATTTAGTTTCCCAAATGGTATAAGTTAAATATGATTTCCCTTAAAGATCATGTATATTGTGATCAAAGTGGTAAACTGCAATAAATGAAATAATATATAATTTTATGTACATAATTATACAAATAAAAAAAAATTCAGACATCGACGAATATGTTAAAGAAGTACTGCAAGTATTTGTGCATATTATATGTAATCTTTAAAATATATGCATTCAAGTCTTACTGTAAAATTTGACATTAACTTTGTAGAAAAAAATTGTTAAATTTGGTAATATCTTTATAAATAATGCTTTTTTGAACATACAATATTGATAAATCTTAATTCGAGCATCATATTTATGATTTAAACTCATAAAAAATTGTAACAGGATCTTTTTGAACCATAATGTTTGATCCCCCCACCCCCTAATATTTTATTAAAAAAACGCAGCAGTATCACACACCCTTCTTTAATTTATGATATATTTTTTAAAGACTGAACTCACATATTTGGACGAGGTTCATGTCCTTGTATTCCATTTTTATTTGTCGATCCTTGTTTGTATAATTGAACGCTTTGATTTATGTACTCTTCATTTCTATTTTAGGCAATGGAGCGGTGTTTGTAAGATGGGGCCGTAATATTTGTCCGGACACTTCAACTCTTGTTTACAACGGTAAAAGGATATTTTTAATATGACACATTATTCTATTTAGGAATTAGATATCAATTCTGAGTGCATTGTTGTAGAATAATGCACGGTTTGAGTTCAAATGCGTAGTAATATCATCACGAAGGCCGATAGGCCTGATTGATTAATTAGTACCAAGCATTTGAACGAAAAACATGCATTATTATACAACAATGCACGAAGAATTAATATCTATTTCCATTCTAACACGTCAAGAAAAAATATAATTATTATTATAAATTTGGACTTTATGTTTGGTGGTTAATTTTGTTTTCGCCTCAGAGTTTCCCATAGAAACGTTCTTGAAAGGCCGTTTCAGTGGGTTGAAAAAAAACTGTCGTTAAATCTACCGTGTGTAGAAACATTTTGAGAATAACGAATTTTTAAAACGTTGATAAAACTGTGTTTGTTTATTTTATTTCAGTCTATAATTTTCCAAACGAAATACAAATTATTAAAAGTGAAATATATGTAAAATTTGACTCGTTTGCGACATTAAAATAGCGTACTTGATTTGATTGTTTTGCACGTGCTGTTTGGCGCTACATTGTGACGTCACGTAAACAACACTTTAAACGTCTGTACAGCGTTAACGACTGAATTAAAGATATTGGTGTTCGGACTTATTTTCTTAGTTAGACCATTTCATTTCATTCTAGATAGTTTTCACAACAAAATTCGACAGAAATTGTTTTATTTATCACATTTTTCAAACAAAATGGCGCCGTCAATGTGAAAATACACAGGGAGATAATAAGAACGGCGAGTGCATTGTTGTAGAATAATGCACGCTTCGGGCCTTCTTTGTCTATATAGAAAAAAAATCCGATAGTGTTAGAATGTTTCATTTAGAAAGATTGCCACTGATTTACAATACGAAAATTTAATATTATGTTTTAGTTGTTTTAGTTTTCATTTGCATTAAATTCGCTTCTTCTTATTATTATTTAATTATTTATTTTTTGCATTGTGTATAAAATATATCAATGTTTCGACTTGTCGTTATAGGATATACTGCAGGGAAACACTATAACAAGAAAGGAAGCGGAAGTGACACAATATGTCTCCCAAGTAACCCCTCGTGGGCAAACTATACCGGAAAGAGCAAGCCATCATCGCTTATCTACGGTACAGAAATTGATATTGTAGAACCAAGTGGCATATTTGCGTATCCTGTTAGCGAACAAGACACGCCTTGTGCTGTTTGTAAATCATTGAGGTCGACTGTTCTAATGGTTCCTGCAAGAACAACTTGCTTTCCCGGCTGGCATATGGAATACACTGGGTATTTAATGGCAGGAATGGATGATAGGCTAGGTTCATATAATCATATTTGCATGGATAGTCTGCCAGAATTTTTACCAAACGGTGCAGCCAATAATAATCAACACATTCTTTACCTTGTGAAGGCACAATGTGGATCATTACCATGTCCTCCATATGTTCAAGATAGAGAGCTAGCATGCGTCGTCTGCTCAAACTAGAAAATTGTACAAGTTGGATTGGGTTTTATGTGTCAAAATAAATAAAGAAAGGTCGGATATAAAATATATCTTGCATGTAGTCTAATTACTTCTTTTGTAAATTTCTACTTTACTCTGACAATTTTGATATTCAAAATAAAATATCTTTTGATGATTTTGTTCAGTTATAACATATGAAATACTTACTCATATTTAAACTTTCCCATTACTAAAACACAAGAGTTATCAGTGATCACATGTGTCGCTTGATGATAGCCAATTGCATGTGTAGCAAGAGATTAAAAAATCGTAAACTGCCCAAAAGGGTCTAAACCCAACCCAAAATTATTCAACCAAAAAAGAGACACATGTTTAATATGTGCATGTACTTGAGGTACCGATCCATGCTGTAAAGTTCCATTGAAATTGCACTAATACTATAAGAGAAGCAGCAGTCTACTTTTTCCGCTTGTGAGTTACTTGTTGTAGATTTTTTGTTTTGATTTCATGGACAATAAGTAAAAAAATCTGGAAACAAAGTGATCCCTCGGAAGCATTAATCACAACAAAATTACAAGAGAAATGCAGACTCGGTTTTATTGGGTCTGTACATGAGGGATAATTAATAAGTCAACATCCCTCACGCCCCCTTGCACCGGCTTGAGCGGTACTCAATTCTCAACACTTAATAGTGCCGGCATCAATGATCCAGAAGGACCAGAAAAATATAACAACACTGAAGTGAAGTACGGGGCAACTTTTTACAGCTGCCACACAGCACTTGACACCTGCTGTTGTGAAGTATAAAAATCTGGAAACAAAGTGATCCCTCGGAAGCAGTAAGTTTTCATGTGTCGGCTTGTTTTTAAAAAATGAAATAATTAGAAAATCATAAAGACCTGGCCTGATGTTATTTCTAAGTGTTTATTGTATGTTTTGGGTACAACTATGAAAGAAATCACATAAAAAGTGAACTCATTTAGAAATTGCAAAAAAAAGCCTAAATTTAACTGAGATCGTACATAATTACATGTGTCCTTGATATATGAATATTAAAGGCTAAAGAAAAGTAATTGTGCTCGAGACTGCCATTATATATAAAACTAACTTACAAACTGTATGAAATTTAACAAAAGTGTGGCCTGTGATCACTATAAGGATAGTGATCTCTTTTTATAAATGGCCAACAGAGAATGTACAATGTCATTTTGATCCTATTGATATTATATCAGTACGTTTGGCATGAATTACTTAGTATACTTGTTAGTAATTATTTTGTTTATTATAAATGTATGTTGTATTGTGGTCAACAATAAATTATAAAATGTATTGGCAATATGTTTTTGTTTATTTGGTAGATGGAAGTTATTGACAACATTAACTTGTTTAGAAAAGAAAGCATGACCCTGCTTTGTTTGATTTTCAACTTAAGTGTAGAGTGTCCATAGGTGTTACACTGTTTAAATGCACAAGTGAGGCATCTTGCGAAGGCTAGTCCTTTAAATCTCGTGCTAGTAGTGTCAAATAGATAGTATATCTTGTGGTGATATCGCCAAGTGATTTCTTAATTGTTTTAAAAATTAAACTGTCGGATGAGTCTTTTGAATTATTTAGCATAAATGAATTTACAAGAAGTGGTTATTGAGACACCAACCCTTGTCGTTTTCCTCTCTTTTATTTAAACATAAAATGATCAACATGAATGCACAGTAATCGATATTGTGTGGTCTTCTTTAAATACAAAAATCTAATTTTGATAAGTATGAATGTATTTTAAGATATGATGATTTATCCATTTTGTTCACAATTTAAATACTTAGCGATAAGTTTAACACATGCAAAGAAAAAGCCATCAGATATTTATGTTGTCTGTATGAACGACACAATATTAATGTCAAAATGCCGTAAATAAATGGTTCTTTTTTATAGAAGATAAACTAATTAATTTCCAAAAGAGAGCTGCAAGACAAATTCTAGACAAAGATTATGACACTCCTTCTGAACTTTTTTCTGAACTCCGCACAAAGGTTTTTTTTTCAAATGTTATTATGATGGTTAAAATAATGAATAATCAGGCGCCTTCCTATTTATTGAATAATTTCATTTTTTCGTCAGATGTTCATAATCCCATTTTGCGTATATCATCTGCTTTTCAATTTTATACCCGTAGACCAAATACTGAACAATTTCGTAAGTCTTTTGTTTATTCTGGATCTTGTATTTGGAACGGCCTTCCTGATTATATTAAGTCTGCTACATCTGTGAACCATTTTAAAACCTAATACTAATTATTATTATTATTATTATCAAACAAGGATTACTCTTCACTAAAATCGATGTTTCACAAGAGACATAAATTGTATTATATTTAACTTTGCAGGTCCTCGATTAGCTGTCGCGATTACTAGAGTTTTGTGGCTTAGATACTTTAATCGTTTTTACCATCTTATTTGAAAAGTCTTTCGAAATGCTTGAATTGAATTCACTGCTGGATGAAAATTTGATTATACTTATTTAACAATTTTTTGTGTTCGTTATTGTTTACATTCGTAATGAATGATTTTCTATTGTGTAACAAATTTACAGATGCCAAATTTAAGTTCTTCAATACTTCACCTGTGTCTTCAAATCGACATGAACCTAAAGCAGAACATTACATCTCAAAATATAATACCAAAATTACTGTTCTCATCACGATAAATATGCTTCAAATTGACTCGGTGAGCTACAGGAGGCATACTTTATTTGATAAACAGCACAAATACGACTCGACTATAGATTTAGAGTAATAATTGGTTTATAATTAAAAAACTTTTAAACAAGAAGGCCTTTTTCAAGACTATTTGGGATTGTTTTCTTCTTGGGTAACAAATGCTTATTTGTCAGAAGCTTGAGCAAAACATTAAAAAAGTGAAACGGTTTTGTAGGATGAGCAAAATATGATTAGCAAACTATAAAATTAAGAGGTACAATACATCATGGACAACGTGCTCGACTATTCTCAGTTCTTGATAGTTAAACAACAGCCTGCATATTGTTGAAGTTTCTAAGTTTTAAAAGGGCTATGATTCTATCAAAAGAAATGTTAGAGGCACGGGCTTTTGGTAGTGTACGCTAGGGTTGGTAAAAAAGCTCTTGGTATTCTATAAGTCGAGCTAAAAATACCCTAAATGATAGAAATAAAAGCATATATATATGTGTGTGTGTGTATGTGCGTCTGTGTGCGCGTGTTTGCGTACGTGCATGTGTGCGTGCATGCATGTGCGTGTGTTATAAACAAAAAATTGCAAACGTTAATATTTCTAGTTGTTTAACCTTTAATGTGTCAGTTGTTTTATAAGACATGTTTCTGTTGTTATGATCACAACGTGATTGTTTATTTGTGCAATCAGTGAATTATTCATTATATATTTAATCGACAGCAATATGAGCCTAGTTTCGTTATTGCATTCTGCTATCATATTTCTAAGTTTCTAAGACAATATTCCCTAGACATCAACAACCGATTCCACGACTGCTAAAATGATATGAATATATATTTGCGACCATACAAGTCTGCAAGCGATGAGAGTGTATGTCAATACTTGTACCAAGCAATCAAATACTATTTGTTGTGATCAAAACAAAACGTTTTAAGCAGCCTTTTCAATTTGTACAGTTAATCACTTGCAATTTGTAATGCATCTGAAATATTTATGAATAAAACAAATATTTGAAGCTAACATTTTATCGAACTGTTTTGAAGGGAGTAAATATAAAAACCAGTCTCCGTTCCGTTTACATTGAATAAAATAGAACAGTGGAACGCAAAACGGGTTAAGAAATTCAAGACGTCACGGAACTTTCACAAATATTCTATTTCATCATTTTGCAATGTCTTGTTACTTTTATTTCAAATGCAGGTGAATATGACGTCAGAAGTTTATATTTAGTAAATCGCTTCCTTAATGCAGTAACTGGTTTACGCCTTATTTAATTGTATAGGGGTTAACCCGATACTGTACTTAGGTGACGAAATATTGAACATGTATTTCATTGGAGAGAGAATTGTTAAATATTGTCACCCTGGTCTTGCATTTTTTTGAAAATATTCAATGACTCTCAATCCAAGATATGTTCATTGTGCACTCATAACTTACAAATATCCCTTTGTAACTCTGACGCTTTTCAGAAAAATCGTCGTCCCACTATCCGAGCATTACGCCGCAAGAATCCAGATCCGAGCTATTGATTAATGTTAAACAAAGGCTATATCATTGTGTATGCGTGCCTGCGTGTGTGTGTGTGTGTTGCTGAGAGTATAATAAAAAAGACACTTGCCAGTGTTAATGTTTGTCGCGGTTTTACTTTTAATGTGTTATTGTCAACAAACAAAACAAATAATCAGTAAGATATGTTTCAGCTGTTATGACCAGATCGTGATTGTTTAATAGTGCAATCAGTCAAACGATATATTCATTAAATATTTAAAGCGACAGCAATATGAGCCAATACCGTAATCCTGCTATCATATTCCTTAGTTACTAAAGACATTATTAACTAAACACAACGACCGATATCACGACTTGCAAAATGTTATAAAAATATGATTATAACCATACACGTCTGAAAGTGTTTGTGAATATTGTATTTCATACTGGTGCCATGCAATATCATATTATATTTATTAGTTTTAAAAACAGTCTTTTTAACTTGTACAATCACTAACTTGCTATTTGTCATGTATGTGAAATATTTATGTATAAAAATTGTTCGAAGAGTGCCGTATATCAAACTGTTTGAAATAGACAAGCATTTAACTCATTTCAAGAAACAAATTCCAGACAATGATTTTTTAAACTAATCAAAGAAGCTGGATATGATCAATTCAAACTACAAAATAAAAGGCGGAATACAGAATAACGACCATCTGAATTTGATTTGTTTTCATAAAAACAAAATTGAAATCAAAATTCTTAAAAGAAAGTCATGTTTGTTTTATTTCTGATCAATATGAAATCATTATAAATATTTACTATAGTTGAAAAAAGAAAGCATTCTTTAAAGCTGCATGACTCCAGATGAGCTGAAATGTAATACTCTTGAAAATGTACGAAGATTTCAAGGAAAGAAAAACTATTAAAGATTCAAGTAATGATTTACATGCTATGTGCAATATTTATCACCATATTTACTAACTCAATAACGCTATTTTTCTCTCTTATTTTGACCTCGTTTCGGTAATTAACGTGGATTGCAAGTGCTGTTTGCAATGTGTAAACTATTTTCATTGTTCGCTTTACAATATTTAGAAAAATACATTATTAAAAATTAATGCAAATAGCATGAATCTTGAGGCAGGCCGCTTTAAGATTCAGTATTTATTGACTTTTTACGACGCGGTCCGTTGCTATAAAAAATCGACCAGATTAGAATTTTCTCGCGCATGCGCAATCTGCGTAGGGCAAGAAATGCTTCGCCTTACATAGAAATATAGTAGAAGTTCATAGACAATTCCGAGTAAGTTCAAGGTTTACGTTAGAAATTATATAAAATAGCTTTCAACAAATATAGAAAAGATGACTTTATAGCTTTGTGTCGAAGAATGCCATAAAAAGGCATGGAAAAGATACTTGTTTAAGAATTTACGATCATGGACCTGACACTGAGATCATTTTTCTAAAGAAGATGTGAAAATATATCTATTAGCAAATGAAAAGTCAACTTATTAACTGTTGAAGCAGTTCATTTAAAAACAAAAGAAATAATATAATATTAAATCGAGATTAATTATCATTCAGAAAAAATAACAGGTGATGCATTTTAGTGTTCAATATACCTGATTATATCCTTTATCCGATTTGCCTGTGATGCAAACAGAAAGTTTAAGTCACATAAATAGATTTTATATAATTAATTTTTTTTCAAAATCTTGAGAAGTTAAGATGGGTTGTTTGGAAAAGATATTACACACATTTTATCCGCTTCCTCGTAATACAGTAAAAACTCTGAAAACCGGACCCTCTGAAACGGGAATCCTCTGAAAACCGGACCATTTTATAAGTCCCGTATTTTCTCCCTATATGATCATTAAAAAAAATCTTCAGAATACCGGAACCTCTGAATTCCAAAAACTAAATATGCATGAAAATCCTCTGAAAACCGGACAGCAATTTAAAGTGTCAACTTTAATGTAGATTTAACCCATTACTTCATATACACGCCTTTTAACGCCTTTTTCACCCCCCCCCCTTTTTGTTTACGTTAGAAATTATATAAAATAGCTTAACAAATATAGAAAAGATGACTTTATAGCTTTGTGTCGAAGAATGCCATAAAAAGGCATGGAA